AAGAGAGAGAGAGAGAGAGGAGGGAACGAGGGGTTGAAACGAACGGATGATAGAGCGGCATGGGGGCGAGGGGTGGAAAAAAGTCTCGGGTAGAATCGGAAAAACGCAACAGGGCGGAAGTACGTCGAACAGATAGCATTGTGCCATGGTGGAATGGAGAGACCTCCCTTTGTTGGCTTACCATTCCCTTGTTTGGTAGGGTGTACGCGGACCGTACGCGGTACATTCCTTGACAAAAGCGTGGCAAGCGTGCAGCTTTGCTTTTTAGAACCAGTGGGCCACCCACCAGGGGGATGGAAACGATAATCGACCATCCTCGTCCGCGTTGATTAATTTTACCAGAGAAAGAGAGAAAGATGGATCGACGTTGAGAGAGAAAGATTTTATCGATACTTGTTGTTGTTGTTGTTGTTGTTGTACAAAATAAACACGTCTAACGTGTTCCCCTTTCCAAGGTATCGTGGTTTAATCGCGATGTTAACGCGATGATTAACGATTGCCTTATTCAAATACGCTTCTCTCCTTACGATTCTTCGATCGTTTCTTTCTCCTTACTCGTAAACGCGTTACTTCGCTCCCGTACACCACTTAATTACGTTTCGCAGAGACAATACACTTCGATCGGATACGCGCTCGATTCATCGATCCCTCGTTGGATTTATCCTTCGATAAATCGCGACTGAACGGTATAATTTCTTCGATATAACCATCCTTTCCCTTTCTTCTTCTCGATTCTCACGAGTCTCAAATTGTGGAGGTTCACTTTTGCTGCGGAGAGTACGTGCGTACACCGCCCACGCGTTATGACACGTACGAGTGCACACGGGTACACGCAGAGAGTGTGTTGGTACGTTGCGTATGATGCAACGATGCTTTTCATCGTGATCCGTGTGTGTGTGTGTGTGTGTGGATCCATTGGCGTGCGTTCCCCGGCTGCGGGAGAGAGATCGCACGGATGCACGTGCTGTCGTGGCTACACGCGTGTTCTCCGCGTCTCTTGTACCCGAGATGGATTGATAGATAGTTTAATGCACCCTGGGAATCTGCTCCCCCTCTCTCAAGATCGACTACGCACGTAGCGAGACCACTGTTATAGGAGATATTCGTTGCGAGGTACGCTGTTATCGATTCCGATCGAATCGAATTTTAGATTTGAGAAATAATTTTAATCGCTGCTCTACTTCGATATCCTATCGCGAGGATTGATTTTCGACGAGATCCATTTCCGATGGAATTCTAGGCAAACTCGTGGATCTCTGGAACGTCGAATCGATTGATGCAAGGTTCTACGCGATGAATATATATATATAGTTAGATATTCCGTTGGAACGCGTTATTACCTAGGCGGAGGAATTACGAACGATCGTCGTACTTTGTTTTCATAATTTATTCTTTGGTGGATGGACGGTAATAGTGGTTGGCTTGGTTTCGAGCCGGTATTAATGGCCGCCACGATTAGATAACACAGCTACCGGATAACGATGCGATCGAACGTTAGAACGACAGAAACACGACCGGTCTTTCTCCGGAGAAAGTGTGTGCAATTATTGGGCTCGTTAGCGCGGGAATGGAAGGAGCACGATCTCCAAGATACTACTCTCCACGGTTTGTTATATTTTCCAATCACGGAGTCCACGCTTATTAGCCTGGGACGTGGTCGACGAAAGTATCGCCAGTTTCCAGACAAAAAGTCTGCACTTGGCCGATGCTTATTATACACGTCGATCGGACCAGTCAATGCGTTTCGAAGGATAAATCGATATACTTTTTTCTCTCGTTTCGACCCGGTATGTACGTTGTTTCAACAGGATCGACGAAACGTTATCTTCCTTCGAAACGTTCCGTTTCAATTTATTAAACGAGATCAGTTTCTTCTCCCGATAGCCTGGATTCCATTTCGGATTGGGAATAACGGTATTAAAAAAAAAAAAAAAAGATAACGTCTGGAAAATAGGATAAAACAGGATGGCGACGCGAAAGTGTGGTAGCGTGCAATTATCGCGAATCAGAAACGGCAGGGTTTCGTGACGGCAGCTGCGCCAACCTATCTGCCTAATGATCGAGCTTTCGGAGCCACGAATGAAAAGAAACGCTTGTGCAATACGCTTGTGTTTTTGTCGGTATTCGAGTTATATACATATATATACAAGGACGTTTTTACCTACTGTTTTACCTACCGTGGTGAGCCTGGACTGGTTTCTCGGTCGGTTATTCAGTCGTTTATCGCGTTTGGTTCGACGCGGTACGAGTGGCCACGTTCCGATCGCACGGCGGGATAAGTGCACGCCAAGAACAACGGGGTCGTTAAGTTTCCAAGAGAAGTGGACGAGGGTGGTCGGGTCGAAGAAACAACTTGTGCTTGGGAAATGGTCCCACGTGCACGAGTTTCGTCGATGACGATCATTTTATAACTTCGTAATGTGCATCACTCCGAGAGACATCCCCCAAGGAAAGGAACGTTGAGTTTCTAAGAGAAGTGATTTCGTATATTGGGATAAAAGGACTCGAGAAAGTCGCGTCGGGCCGCCTCGAGACGAGATGCAATGTTATTAGGCTATTAGGGACGAGAGTGGAAGGGTGTGCGTGCAAGGTGTCGGGCGCAAGAGGAAGACGCGAGGAGACACGAAGAAGAGGAAGGAGGAGGGCCATTGTGGCCGAGGTACGCGAGGGAAATGGCAGGTATCCGATGGGAAATGACGCGGCATCGCGGATAAATAGGGGGTTAAGAGCTGTGGCCGCGGGGTAGGGAGGGGCGGTGGTCCCGATTGAGATTCGTTGTTCGCGGGATCACTCCCTTCGGATCAACCGGGCGATAATCTCGGGGATGCCTCCTCCTTCTTCCCCTTTGCTTTTCGATTATCGAGCTTTCTTCGTGGGAACTCGAGACGAGAGCTCGCGTGCTGCTGCACCGTGTATATATATATAAATATATATATATATACGAGTATACGTGCTCGTTTCGAACTCGTGATGGGAACGGGGGATTTCGGGGATTCGTAATGGGCAGGTTTTGATAGGGAATTCTCCAGGTTTATTGCCAACTTGGTGGAGGGAATAAACGGGGATCGTGCATTCTTCTTCTTCTGCTAGATTCGAATAGATTGGTAATCGTTTGATTTTCACTTCTTCTTTTCTTAAACTTTTCGATTTTGATAGAAGAAAAATTGGCGGATAAATTATTATTCCTCCGCTGGAAGATATTAACAGGATACGATCTAACAACGGAGGATAAGCGCGTGCAAAATGAACCACGTCGGATAAGAGACAGGTATGGAACAAATCGGTCGATCCATCCTAACGGTACCTTTCTTCTCGCCGAGAAGAAAGGTATTTACATGCACGCGTTACGCACAGTGAGCCACCGTATCCGATCATCTCACGGACCAACGATTCTTTTCTACTTGACGCAGAGGCGTAGCTCTAACCGCTCTTAACAAAGGCCTGGGCCGAGGCATCCTTCGTCGATCGTTTTATCAACCGAATCGCTAGAAAAAGAGAGAGAGAGAGAGAGACAAAAGGGATACGGTTTTAAACGTAATTTTAGGATCGATATCTTCGATTCATCATGGAGCACGGGAGTCGGTGAATTCGAAGTTATCAGGCGATGCATTTATCAATGCGCGCTCTATGCTAGGAGGAGGTATAATTGTTTGGCTGGCTGAGTGTCATTCCGATAGCGAACGGTCAACGAAGTTCGTGATTGCAATGCCGCTCTCTCTCTCTCTCTCTCTTACACTCTCCCTCTCTCCCTCCCCTCTCTCGGTAGATCGAAGGGAAGATTAATTCGCTTTATTGTCAGCGTGCAAATGCGACCGCGGACAAAAGGGACGATGAGCAAAGCAAATTGGTATGTATTGAATTACCCGGTTCCTTATTATACGCTTGAATTCGAGCGAGTCTTTCGGCGGGCCCGATGCACGCTCCGCATCTTCAATTTACATAGCAATGACTAATTGAAAAATTTATATAAACGCCATTTAAATGACAATGCCGGCCTTCCACCACCTTCCTTCCCGTGTACTCGGCGTGTGATTCTATTGTCGAATCTGAGGAATCGAGAGGAGGGTGGCGCGAAGATTACGCGAGCTGTGAAATTAAGAATCTGTATTTCCTATATCCCCCCGTATATTCTCCCTTCGATATTTTTAACGGGAATGGCGAGAAGGGAGAAGAGGAAAAAAAGTTTTTCTTCTTCTTCTTCCTCTTCTTCTTCTTCTTTTCCGCGATCCAAAGGATAACGAATCGAGAGGGAGAAATAGAACCGAAAACAATTGCATCTCGTAAGTAGTATATCCTGGCCGCCACGGCAAGCCCGTGGCAATGCACCAGAAATTATCCCCCGTTTCCGGCGGCAACGGGGCTTTGGAATAATACCAGCTGCGCTCAACGACCGAACGGTCATTAATTAAATTCCTGGAAATGGTTATTCCATCCCCGGTATAATAATTTTCGTCCACGGACCCGGTCAAACTACACTTTTTCAAATTGCGATAACGATCCAACGCGTATAAAATAATAATAATAATAATAATAATAACAATAAAAAAAGGAAAAGGAAAATCGTGTCTATCTATTTATTCGATTCGAAAATAATCACGTTTGCAACGTATATCCTCGTCTGTATATCGGTTTTTATTAATTGGATGGAATTTCCCCCTTTTTTTTTCCCCGCATTCATAAACGGCGTACGTACAGTACGTAGTTTGAAATATTTAACGCGGTTAATTCGCGTGAAAACGAAGCCTCACACGGGGAGGGGAGGGATGATGGTCGGGGGTATGGATCAAAATTAAATAAAAAGTAACCCCCACTCGACGGGAATGTGCGTGCGTGTCCTGCCGCGTGGACCTCCCTCCTCGACTGATGCAATAGAAATTATTCCTCGTTTCCAGTTACAGCGGCGCGCGGAGGAGGAAGATCGCGTTTGTTCCATGCTCTCGATAAACGGACCGTGTGTTACGTACCGTTGTTTCGTCGTGCTTGTCAATTTCGCGACTGTATTAGCGCTCGGATAACCGCCTCTACCTCCTCCTCCCTCGGCTGCATTCCAAACCTGCGTTTTATTCTATATGCACCGGCTGTTTCAGGGAAACGTTTTCCACCCACCACTCGTCGACGCACAGCCCGTTTGATCCGGCTACAATTGTACACGTGTTTTTCAC